GAGAGTATCTCGCCCGCGTGGCAAAGCCTGGCAAGCTACCCGTGATGTGCTCAATATGCCAAACACAATAACAAGTCTCAAAAAAAAAATGGAGACGTTATTGGGCCTGCTCGAGCAAATTGATGAACAATGGGAGGACAGTGACCATGACAGTGTTGGTGTCAGGATAATCTTACCCTCATAAAATGTACTTGAAAGTACATGTTAAAGTACTTTGGGTGAAGAATTTGAGCATAGGTATTGGCTCATCTTGAAGTGTTTGTAGAACTCATGAATGAAGCAATCCAGCCCCGGGCCTTTTCTTTGGGGGTAGCACTGCACTGTCCTCCCATTGATTTGCTCAAGTGGGTGCCAGTAATGTCTCCATTGTGAGACTTGTCACTGTTTTTGGCATATCGAATATGCCACGGGGAGCTTGCCAGGCTCTGCCATGCGGGCAAGATACTCTCAGTATCTTGCCGGGCTCTTCTGAGAGGGACCGAGGAATCGAACCCCGGTTGGCCTCGTGCAAGGCAAATATCCTACCGGCTGTGCTATCGCTCCAGCCCTTCTTTGGGGGTAGATTTTTTATTTTTGTTTTAGATTCCTTGCTTATAATTAGGCAGTTCAGGTTTATTTCTACCTTATTTGATTTTAAAAGGTTGGATGATTCTAAGGATCTTTCCATTTCTTCTAGCTTTTCCTCTTAGTTTGAGATTGCTCTTGGTTTAATGAGGCAAAAAAAAAAAAGACTTTATAGGACTTGTTAAGGAAAAAAACAGTTCTCCGCCATTAACTCACTGACTGTCAGAAAGAAAACCAAACCAAGTAAGTGCTTCTTAACTTTCCTTTTGTCTTCTTCTTTGAGAATTAATACTGGCTCATGGGAAACTGGAGGGGAAGGAAACCATATAGATAAAATGCATAAGGGCCAGGCTCTAGGAATATTGCAAAGGCTGGAACTAACCAGAATATTGCTTTTTTTTTTTTTACCTTTATGAGGGTTAATTGTGTGTATCTCTGTGTGTCTGTCTGTGTGCATCTGTGTCTTTTTGTGTGTGAGAGGGGGGCGGGGTCTTACTTCTTTGCACCTCATTTTTGTGGGGAATGTATGTTCTCTCTTTGGTATTAGATAGTTGCCCTAGTTATATAACCCATCTAAGAAAGATTCTTTAAGAGTAAAACACAGAAAGCTGACAAAAAGCTCTTTGCAGTGGCCAGGGCTCTGGTTTCCAGTCCAGTCATTCTAGGGTGAGACCCATCACAGGTAGTGCAAAGCTTACTTTAAGACTTAAAGGTAACTTGCACTCTTGAAATTCATATCCATGGAAGGGGACAGAAAGACAGCAAAGGGGGAAGTTGGGGCAGAAAGTCTCATGAGTTCTGAAACAGGAATGTCCATAAGAGTCAGGTTAGAGTAAGGGCCATCGAGAGAGTGAGTTCATTGAGCTCAAAATGTCCTCCTCTGCGCACACACACTCAAAGCATAGATCCACCCCTGAGCATGGAGCTCAAGTAACCTCTCATCCTTCTCCCCCTCCCTCAAACTGAAAAAGAGGCAGTGGGGAAAGGTATCCCTAAGCCCCAGAAAATCAACTTCTGGGGTTGTAACTAAAAAATGCTTGCATATGTTTACTAGGAGACACGTACAGTGACATTTACTGCAGTGCTCTTTGTAGAAAAACTAGAACCTACATTGCGTAGAAGCATGGATGGATTTTTTTTTCTATTTTAAACACCGCGGTTTACAAATCTGTTTATGATCATTTGTTACAGGCATTAAATATTCCAACCCCAATCCCACCACCATCAGTCACCTTCCCTCTGCCATTGTCTCAATTTTCCCAACCACTCCATAGCAGGCCCTCCGTAATTTATTTTATAGCGCTTGTTACCACTAAATGGCTGGTAGATGAGCTTGCATGGCAGTGGGAGCTGCGGGTGGCTGCTGGGGCTTTCGGAAGGACAGCGAGGAGGAGGCTGGGGGATGCCTCTCATCCCCATTCCAAGAAGGCTCTGACATCTCAGCCCCCAAATTCCAGCGTGCCTGTACCTGAAAATGTTGTCAGGTTCACATCTCTGGGGATCTCAGTCCTGAGTTGATGGAGTCTGGTGAAAGCTGTTGGGGTGTGTGTGTGCGGCTGGCAGAGCTCCTGAGATCTCCCCAGAGGTCTCAGCTGGGACTGATATCTAATGAATTTTTTGCGGCTAGTTGATCTCTTTCAAGATTTAATTGTGTATCTCTGTATCTGATCCATATATTGAAATTAGAACTGGGAAGGCTATACCATAATCAGATTAATGGTTTCTGCAACATATGGGGGAAGGGGATATGAAACTGTACAGAAAACGGGGGACATTTCCGCTTCATCTCCGTAAAGTAAAAATAATGAAATAATTAGATTGTGATCATGTCCATCTCGTTTAGAAGTGATTTCACTTTGTTTTAAAAGTCTGTCCTTTATAAGGACTTTGGTTTCTATATACTTGCTAGAGGACCTATCGAGTGATTTGTTCCAGGAAGATAAGCATCCTGTTTAGATAACCCATAAAGCAGTTAGAGCTTTTTAAAAACCATTTTCAGTTTTATATTCTTTTTCTCTAAAAACCCTTTGTGAGTTGGTTTGTTAGTTGGTTTCAGTGTTTCCAAAGAATTGATGCTGTGTAACTGTGCGTTTGGTACCGTATTCCTTGAGCAGATTTTTCTCAAGCACCCTCCATGTGCCAGGTGATGGCAGAGCAGTGAGCAGAGTAAACCCAGCTCTCGTGGGGTTAAGGGTCTAGTCCAAAGAAAGATAGCCAGTTAGCAAATTGTTTTCCGTGTAAAATGATTGCTAGTGAGTACAGTGATGGAAAGAGAAGATGGGTAGATGGCTGGACAGGATTTTTTTGTGTGACAGTCAGGGAAGACCTGTGGAAGGACATACAAGACCAACTTTTGAGGACGGCCAGGGGAGATGAGCAGTCTTAAGAGGCAGAAAGGAAGTGCTGCTGAAAAGTGTGCTTCTGGAGAACAGGAGCCCGGAAGTCAGCAGGTTGAGGTGTAGGCTGATAGGAAATGAGGTGAGAAATGTAGCAGGGGGCAGGGTCATAATAGGATTTTGTTGGAGCAAAGGACTAACTCACTCCCTGAGTTGCAAACAGCTCACAGGATTAGTAGTGGTGAGATAAAGATAGAAGTTAGGAGAATAGTTAGAAAGTTATTAGGATATATCTGATGATGGTATAGAAGACCAGAGTGGTAAGAAATGGCCAGATGCTTGATAAATGATTCGTCTGCAATTCTTTATCTACAAATTACTCTCACAGAAAATGGGGAAGTTTTTAAGGAAAAAGAGAAGTAACACACATTAATCACTAATCCATGATAAATTGTTCAAATAATTCCAAAAGATTTAGACAGAACCCATATATACTCAGTGGAATATTGTCTACCTATTATAAAAAGATGAAATCACGTGACTATGTTGTAGTTGATGATAATATTATATATGGATGGAACTTGAGGTAATTTTTAGATTTAATGAAATTTAAAAAAAGATAGTTTCTCTCACTTGGGAATATAAGCAATCAAATACTGTAACAAATTGCAAAAAATAGTACTTGAACTCTGCCAGAAATAATGAAATGACATTAGAATTTTAGTAGTGGTTGCAGTGAGGCTTATGCATATGTAGGGAAAGTTGTGAAGCAATAAAGAAATAAAATTTTATTTTACAAAATATTAATAAAATGTGATTTTAGAAATAAAATAATAATTGTAACAACCCCCTCCCAGTTTTAAAAAATTGTAGCATCGTGGGAAGTGGTTTTCAGTCTTTTCCACCCAGAGAGGTATCAACTTTTCTTGCTTCTGTTGGCCACTCTGAATTTGACAGTTGAATGTAATTCAGTCTTTTTTTTTATTGTTTAAAAAATGAAATTTGAAATGTAAGTATAGTGGAAAAATTTTGAGGGTTTTCCTTGTACTAACCAAAATGTGATTTGGTTGATGATATTTTTTAATCTTTCATGGTATTCATACTTTAATATGTTATAAAAATCCGACTGGGCACTATAATTATTTTTCTTTGTGTCATATAATAATAGCGATTCTCAGTAGTTCATTTAAATTTGATATATAATGACTGTGTAACTTATTTCTAAATATATTCTCCAGTTTGTTGACATTGTCATTCGTGTGTGTGTGTGTGCGCGCGCGAGAGAGAGAGAGAGAGAGAGAGAGAGAGAAGGGTGTGGGAGAGAAGGGCAAGGAAGAGAATCTACAGTTTTAGAGTATCTCAATGAGTCTTTTAAATGCCCTAGTTACAGTCTTACAGTAAGAAGAAAACCTTAAAAAGAAATTAAGAAGCTGTTACGGACTTTATGTATTTGTATTTTACTATGTGTACTTTCATATCTCATTAAAACTAATTTTTTATTCAAAACATCTATTGTGGGTCCAGTAAAATAGTACAGGAGGTAGGGCACTTGCTTTGCGTGCTGCCTAACCTTCATTCAAATATAGCACATATGGTCCCCCAGACACCATCAGGGATCACTCCCGAGCAGAGTCAGGAATAACTCCTGAACACCACTGGGTGTGACTCCCCAGAACAAAGCCTCCATCATGTGTTGATGGAATATATCCAATGCTGCAAGTTGACTGACTAGAGCAGTGAACTCAGAAAAAAATTCTGATGATCATAATTTAGTACCTCTCGGAGAGCTACCGAGAGTATTCGATATGCCAGACACAGTAACAACAAAGTCTCCAATGGAGATGTTACTGGGCCCGCTCGAGCAAATCGACAATCAACGGGAGGGCCTTTTACTTTTTATAATTTAGTACAATGAATGAGAAATAGTTTTGTTTTGTTTTGTGAAAGAAGTACGTGCAGGGTATAAGACCTGATCTTATATGATGTATTATTTATGTTTTTAGTAGTAGGAAAGGCCGTCATATCTATTTGGGAAATTTCAGGGATTTAATAAACGTTTCGATCTTTTAATAACATAATGAATTTTCTTTTTTATTTTAGCAAAACTGTTCAATCTAAAGTGGACTGCATTTTGGTGAGTAAAACAACTAATTCGAAGTTTTTTTTGTAATAAGACTTTTACCTCTATATAAAATATATTATTCCTGAGTAAGTATTTTAAATGTTCACAATTTCAGTGAATGAAATGATATTTAACTACAATGGGGTGAATATCTACCTTCTTATACCTCATACATACTGAAATCATAATCTGAGGTGATTGCATGTTTTTGAAATTGACCTTTACTGAAAAATGAGTTAAACATATAATAAAATGAATGCTTGCATTTCTATTCTAATAACTTAAAACTTGTTTTAAAAGATTTTAAATATTTGAGGATTGCTTGTATGCTTTTCGTATCTGGGCTGCTGTGCTTTAGGAATTAAAGTTACAATATTAGTTTTTGCTGTACTTACATACCTCTAAGAATTTGTTTGTGTGAAGTATTTTTTCATTATTTTGGGAAGTGACTCCCACTCCATCAGTGTCTGATGTCACCAGCTCCCCATTTGTCTAGGCCTCAGGCCATACCTGGAATTGAATTTGGAGCTTTAAACCTGCAGAGCTTGAACTACAGCTTTTTTTTTTGTTGTTGTTGGGTGGGGGTGGGGGGTCATACCTGGTGATGCACAAAGTTCCTCCTGGCTCTGTACTCAGGAATTATCCCTGCGGTGCTCAGGAGACCATATGGGATGCTGGGAATCGAACCCAGGTCAGCCACGTGCAAGGCAAATGCCCTACCCATAGTGCTGTTGCTCCAGCCCCCTGAATTCCAGCTTTTTGAGCTACCTCCCAGATCTTCAATTAAATCTTCTTAAAATGCTTTCTGGGTTTTTATTTTGTTTTTGTTTTTGTTTGTTTGTTTTTGTTTTTTTTTTTTTTGCCACTAAATGAACCTCTGTTTGGACTATTCTTCTGGAATTGAAGCCACAGTTATCATTTAGATCATAGCTGTAGATCTTAAACAAATGGAAGACATTTGTGGCTACTGGAATAATGCTAATCCCTTCCATGAGCTCAGCTGGCAGAGTACCTCCTAGGCTTTAAAACATTCTGTGGCTCTGCCCTATTTGATTCCTCCAAGTGACTTTGTATTTATCTTCTTCCTACTGTGACTTCAGAAATTAACTTAACTTGTTATTAAAATGTTCTTAGGACTTACTCAAGACTATAGTACCTGGTTCTGAAATTGGTATTATATCTGTGAGTTTAGCACTGTAACACTGTCCTCCCATTGTTCATCAATTTGCTTGAGTGGGCACCAGTAATGTCTTGCAACAAATTGTGAGACTTGTTATTACTGTTTTTGGCATATGGAATACACCACGGGTAACTTGCCAGGCTTTGCCTTGCGGGTAGCTTGCCAGGCTCTCCGAGAGGGGTTGAGGAATCGAACTTGGGTCAGCCACGTGCAAGGCAAACGCCCTACCCGCTGTGCTATTGCTCCAGCCCCATCTGTGAGTTTATGATATGAAATGATTATTAGACAAATAAACTATTTCATAGCAGAGCAGGTTATTTGATCAGTTCTGGTTTTGGGGAGTTCTTTTGTGTTTAACCCAGTGCTGAGAATGAGGACTTGGTGGAGAGATCTTTTTGTTTTTGCTTCACTTTTCTGTTTCTGACTCACTCTCTGAAGTAGGTAATTTTGCCTCCTGTTTTACAAGTGTAGAAATGGATTCTTTCGCATTTAGTTAAAAAATAATTGCTGATTTAAAGTAGATTATTCTGTGCCTGCTAAGGCTTGGGGAGGGGATGGGAAACTGGGGACACTGGGAAGGGCACATTGGTGTTGGGACTGGTGTTGAAATACTGAATTCCTGAACAATTTATAGTGAACAACTTTGTGAATCACAGTGTTTAAATAAAATTTCTTTCACAGCTAAAAAAATAAATTGTTGAATGCCTTCTGTTTGCCATGCTAGACTAAAAGAATACAAAATCAAAAAGACTTAAATTCCTACCTTCAAGAAATTTAGTCTGTTATCAGAATGTATGTGAGTACTGTTCAGAACCGGGAAGGCAGTGACAGGCTTGGCGAGACCCCCTTGCCTCCAGCCCACAGAGCATTTCCTTTCCCACCCCAGAAGACTCACAGTGTATCTGCCACTCTGGGAGCTGTTGCATAATTACTTTGTGCTGGACCCTGTTCTGTCTATTAGTGTGCCTCGGTAAACAAGACCGAGAAAGTTCCCTTAAGGTCACCTGCTTTCTTTTCAGCTCATTAGATCATGTTATAGTCTTGTTTAATTTTTTTCCTTCTCATTGAAAAAATAGATGCAGAAAACCAGGGTGAAATATATAGTGTTTATATAATAGTAAACAAAAATACTTCTAAAAGGGATTTTAAGTAGGAGTGGAGAGAGTTCAGTGGAGAAGCTCCTACCCAGCCGCACCACCTGGATCACAGCGCCAAGAATAAACCCTGAGCACCAAAACCATTTACATGCATAAATATATAACCTTGGGCTTTCACCTATAGTCTAAAGTTATATATAATATATATGTACATATATATGTGTGTGTGTGTGTGTATATATATATATATATATATATATATATATACACACACACACACATCCATTTGATGACAAGGTAAGTTTTCTGTGCTGAAGAGCCTTGTATTTTTTTTTCTTTTTTTATTAGTGAAAAACCATGAGGTACAGTTATAGGCTTACAAATTTTGTGCTTGGGTTTCAGTTATACAATGATCAAGTGCCAATCCCTCCACCAGTGCCCGTCATCCATCCCCATGGGTCCCAGCATCCCCCCCCCACCCTCATCCTCCCCCCCCCCCCCCCGTCCCATCCTGCCTCTGTGGCAGGGTATTCCCCCTTGTTCTCTCTCTCTTCTTTTGGGTACTGTGTTTTGCAAGAGAGGCTTTGAGTGGCAATCATGTTTGGTCTATTGACTACTTTTAGCATGCTTCTCCCACCCTGGGAGGACCCTCACAACACCCTTCATTTGGTACTCTCTGAAGAGCCTTGTATTTTGATTCTATAATAAATGGCCAAACATTGGAAGTCAATAATAAATGTCATTACAAAGTTTTAAGAAAGTGAAAAGACGGGAGAGATGGTTGGTAGGATAGCCTTGGACTGCTTGCTTATCAGGAAGAGCCTTTGTCAGGCACTGGAAGGGAGCCCTCAGTGGCCAGTCTCACGCGGTGGTCTGCCCGCATCTCACACAAGGTGGGGGACTTGTAAGTGAACACAGACTCCCCGTCATTTTCCAGGGGAGCATCCTGTGTGTGAAGTTCAGACCCTCAGGATACTGTGATTGGGAGGTGGGGGAGAAACCCTCTGGGCCCCCAGAGAAGTATGTAAATTTGGCAAAGAAACAAAGGCAGGACTAGGTAGTTCCTGCTGCCTGTTGTTCCCCCCCACCACCACCACCACAGTGTGTGGTGACCTGGAGACCAACAATGCTGCCTATTAGAGATAGTAGCATTTATATAAGAATGTTAGGGCTTTATTTGTCTTGGCCATATTCTTTCATCGCAGTCCAAATGCCTATTTTTCTTAGCCTAACGTGACTACTAGGGTCTTCAGAAAAATATTAAATAGGGATGGTAAAAGTGAGTTTCCTTCCTTAGTTGCCAGTCTTGGGAGAAATCACTTATGCATCCACTCATGATGGATGTTAGTAGCATTTGCTTTTTTATGGATGGAGACTGTTGAGCTCGATCACCTTTATGTTCATATTTTTAGAGAGATTTTTTTAATCACGATGCATATTAGGTTTTACTGGCCTAATAACATGGTACTCTGACCTCTGTTTAATGTCATGTCTTTCCACTTATCACTCTTTCATAAAAGCATTAAACTTTATATACATCTGTGTATTTTCCTATTTGTTACAGCCTCTTATTAGTTACAACGGTTCCGGTTTTCTTCTTCTTCAGTTCATGCTGTTACCACGAGCAGAGCCATTTTGAGGTGCCTGCAGTGCCCCCTGGGGGTCACCCGCAACGGTTGCTCCTGTGTGCCAGAATTCACACTGCTTCTAGTTGTGTGGCTAGCGCACATTCCCATCATCTCCCACTAAGGGTCACTGTGGTGCTGGCACATCTGCTCCCAGTGGTGGCTGTGTTCACAACATGGTGGCGGTGCCCTTGGTCATCCTTGGCAGTACCACGGATCTCAGCAGCACTGGCAGGAGAGTGCTCGGTGCGCATGGTGGCACTGATGGCCTTCGACTTCACCCCCCGTGCCCTTCCCATCACTTCATCTGGCATCTGGTAATGTGTCCCTGTGTATGCGCCAGAACTGGATGAAGTGACATCCTAGCAGTTGGAAAGCAACTTGGCTTCATGTAATGAGTTTGGGAGAGTTTTTCTTTTCTAAAGGAATTGATTTCGAATTATAATCGTGCTCAAAGTTCGCTAGGTTGCACTGGCAAGACCATCTGTGGGGCAGATCTTAGTTAACAAAATCAGTTTCATTACATTAGTGGCTGTTCTTCTAATTTGGGGGTTCTGATTTCTTTACTTTTAAAAATTCCTCTCCCTGCATCTTTCCTTCTGTTGTTGCTGATACGTTGTTTCAGTATTCAGGGATCACACACCCCCTTGGCTATGGTGCTCCCACCTTAGGAGTCACACCTCAGGCTTCGGTCTTCCAATGCTCGGCATTCACCCCCTCTAGGGGAGGCACACCGCCACTGTGAGTCGCCCTTTGTGCCCTGGGTGCTCCATGCTTCTTTGTGTCACGGTGCTCGGGTTGTGTCCCTTTGTAGTGCGTGCATAGACCTGGTGGCTGCTCGTCTGGCCATTCCTGGCAGCCCCGAGTTTGCACAGTCGAGGTGCCAGACTTGTGCTCATCACAGAGGGCACCCCAGGGTTTGAACTGGTATTGTGCTTCCGGGGGCCACGTGTCAGTAGCCCCTGTCCTGTTCCTCTGCTCCCTGCTCCCCCCGTCCAAGTTGGCTAAACGTTTGGCTTTCATCTTACAAATGGTTATGTGTGCAATGTCTCCTCTTTGTTACTCATTCACCCATCCATCAGGGGACACTGAGCCTGTGTCCAGATCTTG